GTTGGGGTGAGCCGATGTGTGAAAGTGTCAACAACAGCAGATTAAGGGTGGTGTGAGACTTTTTGGAACAAATGCTCAGATCCTGCAGTCAGGTCATGTTGAAAATGTCAATCACACATTTGCTCACTGTTTCTCTTTGCAGACTTAGGGCACGGTCTCACTGGTCATCTGTACCGTGCTGTACTCAAGCACGATTGCCCGCCCCCCCCCCCGCTGCGCCATTCCCACGCAGTTTACAAACAGGTGGACGAGAGAGAGAGAGAAAAAGAGACGCGCAGTTGAATCCGCGTCTGCACATCAGAGAAAAACACAGAGAGCATGACAGCTACTTTACTGACTTTACAGCTTATTTTAAGCTATTTTAATCAGACACAGCCATAAATAAATTAAAAAATAAAATAGACGTGCGGCCGAGTCCACAGGCGAGTCCGCGGCCGCACATCGGCGAACAACACAGAACATGACAGCTGCTTAGTGGCTTATATTGTGTCATTTTAGTCAGATACAGCCATGAAACTCTGGAGTTGTCCATAATGAAGGCTGTCAGCGTTGTGTACCCGCGTGCTTGTGCATGAAGTGTACCGTGCCGAAGCACACCTCTCAGAAGTGTGCCAAAAGCCAAGGAAGTGTACCGTGCTTGGGCACGGTACGGGTGGCCAGTCTAGTTCCTGATGCGTATATTAATCCTGTGTTTTGCTGTATAAATGTGCACCTAAAGATCAAGCCTGTGCTAATTTGTCTCCTGTTGGAAAGCCAGGGATTGCGTTTTACTGGCTCAGTAGTAAGAACTTTAACTGCCAATCATGCATAACTGAAAACCTGTTTTGTTGTTTTTATGAGCGAGGCAACGGAAGCAAGTTGTTAAACCCTTCTGGCAAACAGACGGCTTTTTATCCGGCTGAGGAAAAGTCAAACAGAGACATAAAAAACAAACAGAGGAGCCACTAGTTGAACAGTGCGCAGGTTTCAATATTTATCTGTCCCCTACTGCACCTATTTGAACAGGTGTCACAGTGTGTGTGTGTGTGTGTGTAGCTGTGTACATTAGATAACCTACAATCAATTACTGCTAAGGCCACATCCTGAGTTCAGAGGTAGACTCACTGTAACTCAATAGGCGTGGGTGCAGAGTCTTCTTCTCCTCTAGCCTGTCTTCCTTCTGTCCTTCTTTCTCTCTCTCCACTCCCTCCTCCTTTGTCTCTGGTCTCCGTTTATCGCATCATCCCCTGGAGGGGGTTAAGGGGGAATTTCCGAAAAGATAATCCTCCTTTTTTTCAGTGACATGCAGGAAGCAGCAGAAGAGAGAAGAGGAGGAGGAGGAGGAGGAGGAGGAGGAGAATGTCTGTTGATTCAGTTGGGAGCAAAAGATAATGTTTACCTTCCGTCTTGTGCCAGCTATGAAGCAACAACTCTACCATGTGGAGTAAAATGATGATGAATGTTTTTTAAATTATCATCTGACCTTAGATAAAAATATTTCTGGACAAAAGCAGTCAGAAGGCAACATTTTCTTAAAGTCAAGGTGGAAAAAACTCAAGACAGACTCAAGAGCACAGGGATGGCTTCCACTTTCCCCTGAAACAAACATACTAAATTCTTGTCAAATTATCAGCTGTTTAAACTGAAGATGACTTTAAGGAGCAAAATGTAATTCTGACACGCAGCGTTTAAAATGAGTACTGCAGTCCAACATTCAACATAATGAAGAGAGCTGTCTCTCCATGCCTCCTACTCCCTGGAGTCCATGAGCATGCAGGTTGCCAAATCGTGGACACAGAAGCTTCAGTGTTTAGCCAGCTCAACATCAGTCTGTAAACCTTTCTGTGTTCTAACCTCTCTCCATTTTTCAAAAAGCATCTCCAATATTGATCCTAGTTTGAGCACATTTCTGCTCGTGGAGCTTATTAGAAACATGCAGAGGCTTTTTAGGTCGGGTACGATCAGTTATATCTGAACCAGATTGCTTGCCCGCCTCCATCGCTGCAACACCTGTTGGTTTGCCTGGCAAACCGAGGGGCGTCCAAAACTGTGGTGTTTGGCAGATAACTGATATCTGAATAAAGGATCATTATTAGTAACCAACACAAATACACATGAGATAATTGCCTTCAGAAATACCTCCACAGCCTGTGAACTCAAGGACAAACATACAAATACAAACACACTCAGCTGAGCGGTAATGTGCGAGCATGCTCTCCCCCTGTGGCAACAGCTCTTTACTCAATATCAACAGGAAGCCCCTCCTCCAGGAAGCTATTAACAGCTGATGTGATCATGTTTACCACACATAAAAGACACACACACACACACAAGGCTTTACACCAAACTGGTGTATGTGCACTCTTTAACAAGGCCTGTGTGCACTTAATGAGATCGAAGTGGAAGTGAGGCTGGAAATTGGTCGTTAAATGTTTGCTCATGACTCTGCCTCCTGCTTTCGTACACAAAAGGTTTTACAGCACAGTTTGTTTTCTGTTCTTGAGTTTGAGGCCTTCAGGGGCCTTTCTGCAAAATGAGGTAGTTATCTTATTTCTTGAAGGAGTCGCTTAAGTTCACATTTACCACAGAACAAAGAACAAACCACACACAGTCCCCGCTTTCATTTTATATACCAGCTATACGATTTGCAATCCATTGACGTCTTGATATTTACAGGACAGTTACATCACTGTGGTGATTATATCCCATCATGCTCTTGGTGTAAATGTCAGTGAAGCAGGAACAGAAGTGGTTTCTGGCTGCAGCTGACCTTGTGTGTGCAGTGGTTTGTGTTTTCTGTAGTGATGGAGGCTGTAATGTTAGCGTGGTTGGTTAGGTCTAGGTCTAGGTTGAAGCCTTTTCAGTATAGCGGCACCAAAGCCTCAAAAAACTATAGAAATATATGTTTGAACATTTTTATCAAAAGCAGATACGAGTTGAGATGAACTTATTGTCCCTTGTTTGTCCCTATACTCCCCACACATCCAAAACACATACAGGTATTTGGTCAAATTCTTTTGTTTTCAATCATACAATAGTTTTTCTACTGTGTTACAATTAAACATTAATCTTTTTCATGTACATTATTGTGGACAGGGGAAGAAAGGCAGGGATGAGATTTCTGCACAATGGACAACAGAAACAGAGACTCTGCAAGTTTCTTGTTTTGGCATTGTCTATGGCCCACAGAAGCCTGTGTGCAACATATTTTCATTTACAGTATATTAAATATATAAATCCCATGGGTTCAGGACCCCAATGGTTGGGAAAGCCTGCCCTAATAGATACAATATAATATGTGAGCACACTTGGGAAGACAATGGCATAAATCTTCCAAAACATAAAAACAGCAGGATGAGTTTTGGAGTTATTTTTTTTGTACTTTCCTCTTCCCTTTTTTAAATGTCCTTTAAGGTCAAATATCTTTACCAGAACCGGTCCCTTCTCTGAGCAGGCCGCTGCACTTTATGTAACTGGAAGAGAAAAAAGAAAAAAGTAAGGAGGAGGAAAACCAGTAAAGCCAGAGAGGAAGCGAAGGATGTGGTGAGGAGAGCAAACAGCAGCCAGCGGAGAGCTCCCTCTTTGTGTGGCTTTTTTTTTTTTTTTTTTTTTTTTTTACAGCTTCCTCCCAAGCCGGCCGCATCGCTCACCACATGTCCGCTGCTGGAAAAACATAAACAGCTAAAGTCTCCACGCTGGGTGGAGGCAAGACAAAACATTTCACAGTCAGCGGTAGAGACGAGAGGCGCAATGACACGTATTACACGAACAAGCTTTACAAGATAACATCATGGGGTTACATGGCTTTATGGAAGACAATGACCAGCAGAACAATGATAATTACAGCAGAAACATTAGTGTTGAAGAGAACTGCAGACTAATGATACTTCAGTGGGTGAAAATGTCAAAGTAACTAATAAGTGACATTGCACTTGACCTTCTCTGTTCATTTTAATGCACTATAGGGTCAATATTCTATATGGAAATGACTTTAAGTCTGCTTAATGAAGACTCAGGGCATACAATAAACTAATGATAAACCCTAGCCTTTTCACATGTTCACCTCACAGCCGGAGACCTTCCCTGTTGGACAATCATCTGATAAAGTGGGGAGGGGGGGATCTCAGGAGGCAGGACGCAAAAGGATGACTCGGAACTTGTCGATGAAGCAAAAGCCTGCTATGACAGTTAAAACAAAACAACTACGCATTTTTGGATGTATTAATATTATCATCATAATCGTGGTAAAAATCAAGCAGAAAAATGTAGATGAAGCAGCTTCACTATTTGCACATTTATTGCACCGGTTGTTCACCGATCAGATAATGTAAACTTCATCAACCCCGCTTGCTAGCTCTTGTTAAGTAGTCCTGATAATTACCTGCCGAGTTCACACTCACTCCACCTTCCTGCTAACATTTTACCGAGGGGCGCGTTGCAGGAAAAAGTCTGGGTAAAGTCATGGTGACAAATTTGGAGTTAGCAAAATAAAACATTTATGCAGTATTGTATCTCATTTATTGATATGAAACCTGTTTTATGGGATGTGTAATTGACGCATTATAGAGCACATGCTCATTTTAAATGACAAAAAAAAAAAAAAACACAAAAATGCGAAGGACTTGTGTCATTGCATACACAGCCGACTGCTAATAAAACATTTGCTGATATACAAATGCACACACGTTAATACACACACATTAAGAGAGGTCATACAGCAGACATGCACCGTCTGTTTTCATAGCTGCAGCTGTCCTCGATGGATGTAACACACACACACACACACACACACACGCACACGCACACACACACAGTGGAATGTCCCAGTCAGACTGAGCTACGGTGTACAGCTGGACATATTTAAGAAGTGAAGAAAGACACGGAGAAGAGATGTTAGTATCCTCCCCAACACACACACACACACACACACACACACACACACACACACACACACACACACACACACACAACACACACACACACACACACACACACACACACACACACACACACACACACACACACACACACACACACACACACACACACACACACACACACACACACACACACACACACACACACACTTCAAGCCCTGCCCAAATCCTGATTTACCCACTGACCCCTGAGAGAGACCACCTAAGTGGACATCAGAAACCTCATACAGACACACACACACATATATATGTACAAAAGCACACGCTCTTGAGCAGTCTTTGGAGTAAGCAGTGCAGTCTGTGTCTGTTTCCCGCGGTCCTCATGTGAATTCTTCAGGCGATCCATCCGACTCCTCGCTCTCCGTCCTCCGCCTCTCCTCTGACTTCTGCACGTCTTTGAGAATCTGGGACTGGTTGAGGAGACACTCCTTCAGCTTGTCCTCAGTGAGGGTGAGACGCTCCTCCAGCACTGAAACCGTCTGTGCGTTTGAGGACGTGGGAAAAGAAGGAAATGAGAAAGCAGTCACAAGCCGTTTTCACATATGCACCCCTTAAAATATCTCGATAATATCAGGAGGACTGCTCCAGATATTCTCCTGACCTGGCTATTCACATATGCTCCTCACAGCAGGAGACGATCCCTGTCAGGTGGGAGGGGGGGTCTCCTGAGGTAAGACGTGTTATAAAAAAAACGAGGCAGAAGTAGCAGACGAAGCAACAGAGTCCGCTACACAGCGCTATAATGAGAATATCTGCCTTTATATCAATGCTAGAATCAGACTATCAACAAAATAGCGGAGAACAACATTCTGTTGAACAGAAAACATTATGAAGCTGTTTAATTACGTGCAGAGAGATCGTAGCGGTCTCGTTCATTAAGTCTATGCACTGACTCCAGTCACAGGATATAAGCATCACCACTCTCTCCTACTGGCCCGAGGTGAATTCTCCTGAGAATATTCTGCTGTGTTCTCACATCAGCTCACTCGGACTTGCTACAGAGAACAGACTAGGGGTCTGAAAGGTGAAACTCCAGGGTTGGGAGTTTGAGTGAAAAATGTGACTGTTTGCATTCACACATACGGCAAATATCAGGAGTTTTTCAGGAGTTTTTCAGGAGTTTTCTGCAAGTGTGGAAGCCCTAAGAGAAGAGTTGTGGACGAGGAAAATCAGAGGAGCAGAATCAATGGAAAGATTCATGAGATACAAGCTGAACGTGAGCAAATTCTGAGCAGAGAAAGATTTTAACAGATGAGACTGAAGACCTTGAAAAAAAATCCATGCCACAATAATGGAAAATTATGGTGACATTGATTGGTGAAAATGGTATGTTTTTTTTCCAAGTAATTGAAGTTTCATTTAAGTAATTATACCTTTTTAAAAAAAAAGATGGAAGCAGAAATGCAGGAAATACTTCAAAAGGCATTTTGTCGCGAATAGAAACAGAACAACATTTTAGTCTGAACACAAAAGAGGGGAAAACAATTCATCAGACTTCACTGCTTTGTATTCTGTGAAGGTTCCACCTTGTCACTTTCGTCTGCTGACAAACAACAGAATACAAGCTGCTGTGTGGTGGGATGGCAAGGAAAGGTGTTTTTATAACCATCTAATCAAAAAATGTAAATGTGTTTTAGATCTAAAATAGTCAAAACCTTCTTTTATTGTCTTCTGTGTTGTTTGTTTTTTATGCATATCTTTGTCTGGGGGAGTTTATAGCCTATTTTGGCATAATGTCATATACTGTTAATGTTCTTTTCTGGTGATTTCACACTCTGCTGCTGACTTGAATCGACAGTTTGGGACTTCACTTTACTTCACTGACCTGTGTGAGAATATCCAACTGTTGCACGATGTGCTGTAGAGTCAGGTCCAGACTTGATGGATGACCAGAGACGACTTCTAGTGGTTGTGTATGCCCTCTCCCCTCTTCATCTTCCTCTCTCCTTCCTTTCCCTCCCCCGCTGACCCCTGTCTGGCTCCCGGTGGCGGCGGCACCTGTCCAACAGACACTTTCCTCTCCCATCCATCCTTCCACTCTTGTAGTGGCCATGTGACACGGCGGCAAACCGTTTGAGTGCTGACTGTTGGTGGCGGTCTGCAGGGGGAATGAGTGTGTTTGACCACTGAAGAGCTGCAGAGCAAAAGACAGAGCGAGAATGTTTTGTTTTTTTTCTTAGTTGATTGAGTTGTGGTGCATTCTGCTCCTCGCCCGTTCTACAGGTGTTACCTTTTTGCCTTAAGTGCTGCACATATAGGCCCGCCATGAAGTTTGCCTGCAAACCAAATGCCAAGCTAACACTATCAAATATCCATTGTGACACATGTAATATCTTTGAAGATGCCCCTTAACGCCCAATATCCCTCAACAGCCTGTTGGACATTTTGACAGGCAGCGAAAAAAGGACCAGATATTCCAGATGTTTCTGAATATAATGTAAGTGTAATTATTGTCACAATAGACCAGACATATAAAACACCCTCAATGTCTTAAAATATTTAACATAGCCTGTTTCACGCCCCCGTACAGAAGCAGTGGCCATGGGTTAGAAACCAACCTCGACACTTTACCACTCTCTGCTCCCAACATTTCCTGTCTCTCTTCAGATCTCCTATCTTAATAAAGTAAAACACTCTCAAATAATAACTTAGCAAAAGTAATTTATTGTAAAGAGACCACGAACAATATTAAACATACATGTTATGTCACTTCCCTGTTTGAAATGTACAGAGGTCCAAGTGTAATTACGCAGGCTAACATGGAAATAGTGATAAATAAAGCTGTTCAGGGTTAGACAGCACAACATCGCTCCTGATTCATTGTTGTGTGGCGAGGCCTTGAGCCTGTTCTAACTCGGCAGACTGAAGGAGGGCGATGACTCACACTGCTGGATTACTGACTTAACAACTGACTTTCTGATCGACTGACTAACCTGCTGGCTAAACACAAGTTCACAAGGTTATTTTGTAATCCAAGGCCTGGAGAGCTAAAGCCACAGATAGAAAAAAAAAAAAAAAGAACTACGACTTTTTTTTATCATCTTTACTTTTCTTGGAAATGTGTTTTGAGAAATGGAGTATAATGAGACTTGTGGCGATGGAGACTGAACAAAGTGAGGGAACATGCTGTTCAGCTTAACCAGGGACAAGTTGAAATCATTCATCATTTTTTCCAGACAGGGACAACTTAGCGTGACCTCATATTTATATTGTTTCACACATCCACTTGCACCTTGATGATCTTGTTTTTATGATCGTGGGAAGACAAAATTGAAATTGGATTAATTTTCCAGCCCTATCCCCGTGTCTGTGTCCTTGAGTCTAAATAAGAAAAAGCACTCAACACATAATGAAGTAAAACAGAGAAAATCCACAATGCTCACATGTATGTGGACCTGGAGACTGGTGGTATTACTTGATCAGTAACAAAATTATTTAAAGTGTACAGTTATAATTTCATTTCAAATAAATCAAGTAAGTAATCATTTCCGACCTACCTAAGACATCAGCATTAGTTTTTAGTTGAACATTTACACACATTAGCAGAGACTCTTTAAACAGCTGGACTACATCAGTGTCGAGACTGAAGTGAAGAAATGTTGGGATATATCCCAAAATAATAGTCATGTTTTGTATAAAGGTTTAGGGCGGCAGGTGGTGTATGGGGAAAAGAAGGTGAAAAAAATGAGAGATGTGTCAGGAGGATGGAGGAGGAAGGAAGAGGAGGGAGAAGAGGAGGAGGGTGTCACACATTCTTGGCCTAATGCATGGAGCAATCGATTCCGACTTGCTTCCTGCACACTGTCCACACTTCAAAGAGAGCGCGGAGGGAGGCAGGAGAGGAAGGAGGGATGGAGGGAGGAGGAGAGGAAGAGAACACGAGTGTGTGTGTGTGTGTGTGTGTGTGTGTGTGTGTGTGTAAAGAAAGGAAGGAGGGAGGGAGGGGGGGGGAGGGTTATGCTTAATTTCTGAGTAGAGGTGAACAAAGCTGTCAGTGTGTGGCTGGCAAGTCTTACTTGCTATCTAGTCTTGTTGCTCTCTAGTCTTTATTTTCTTCTCTCTTTATCCCCTCACATCACTCCTCCTTGGCAACATCTGGCCAACATCTGCTCAGCTCATTTTACACACAACCGAGGCAGACCCCCCCCCCTCCCCGCCAGGAAGTTTGGGGGCAATCAAACATTAACAGGCAGGATTTCCCCGCTGGCCTGAGTGTTGAATGCAAACATACGAGCTAAGTGAAACCTATAAACACACAAACTCTGAGATTTAAAGTCAGTAAAGTCTTGAAAGTTTCTGATTGGCCAATTGTAATATTCTACAGTCTTTATATTCAATTCAATTCAATTCAATTTATTTTGTATAGCGTCAACTCATAACAAGTGTTATCTCGAGACACTTTACAGAAAGCAGGTAAAAGACCTTACTCTTTGTCTTTTAACATTACAAAAGAGCAGGTAAAAAGACCTTACTCATTGTTATGTTACAAAGACCCGGCCTATCCATCATGAGCACTTTATAGTCAGCGCTATATAGGATAAATCAGACACTGAATGACAAAGCTCACACCAAAGACTCTAGAGGACTAAAATCGATCAGCAAAAAAAAAGAGAGGTAAACGTAACATCAGTCTTTTGAAAAAGATAGTGGATAATGTGCTTTATGGTCGAGTGCTTACTGGAAAATAAAATGTTTTGGCAAGAACATGTAACCAAAAGTCAAGATAGAAGAATGTAGGCAATCTGTAAATTGAATGAACTCACTGAAGCCTAATTACCGACGGCAAACCTGACAGAAGCCGCAGAGAACATATTTGTGCAGAAACAACTTTACCAGGAGATGAACTATATTACAAACTCACATGGAGTTAAGATTGTACTGTTAAAAACAGAAGACATCATGTAATCTCTGTTTTTCACTGTGGAATGTCAGGGGTCACGGCTCGCAGTGGTTGCGGTCAGTAGTGACGGGAATGCGGAGATGGCGTTGTGCCAGCCAGGGGGTTCATGTGCGATGGGAGAGGAGTGGGTGGTGAGGCTCGGGTGGCAGAGCACAGCAGAGCAGAAAGTATCCGCTGTGATCATAAGGGGGCCGTGGGAGTGACGTGACAGTGCCCCCACTGATGGTCGTGAGGACACAATGTGCATGTTGTGGACGTGGCGTTGGGAATGAAGGGCTGATGTATATTCTTTGAGATACAGAGGCTCTGTGCAGTTTAGCTCGACTACAATACATTCAGTTTAAAATAAAATGCTTAATGTATGACATGAAGACACATTTCCACATTATTCGCTGGATAGAAAATGTGGTGTTGAGGTGCTGGTGGCGAAGTGGTTAGTGCGTGCGCCCCATGTATGGAGGCTGTAGTCCTTCAAGCGGGCGGCCCGGGTGCAAATCCGGCCTAGGGCTCCTTTCCCACATGTCATTCCAAACTCTCTCTCTCTGTTTGATTTCCAGCTTTATCCAAGAAGAAATTACAATTCAACGCCACAAATGATAAAAGTGGAATTGGCAAAAATGTAAAACTCACTGAGGTATTTACGTCTTCTACGCTGTTAAAATGAAGTGATAGGACAGGGATCTTGAAACCACATCTTTAGTTGTACATTTGTAGAGATCTTATAATACAACTCTGACCTCTTGCAGCGGGGACTCCAAAAAAACAACCCCTGAAGGTGTTTTGTGTTATCTGTCTTCAAGATGTTCGCAACAGATCTTTTTATTTCCTATCTCTCCAATAAAGACACAAAAAGCCTGAAAATAAATCTTCAAAAAAAAGAAAATGTGGTGTTATTAGAGTACATGAAGTAGTACTGACGCAGCATTTGTCTTTGTATTCAAATGTTACCTAAATGCTACTTTTTTTTTTTTTTTTTTTTAAACGGGAGTTTTGAGTTTTATTGCTTGAAAGTAACACTCGGGTATGTTTTTTTTTTCCATACACAGAACTGGCTTAAGTGTTGCTGTTGTTCTAATAGCAGACTAATAATAACAGGCTAAACCGAGAGATGGGTGAGGACTTGACTCGTGTGACTCGCAGACGGTTTACCTAACACGGCGATGTCATGAGAAGAGCGGCTCTCTTCAAAATGTCAACAGTAGCTGTGATGTTTACGACCAAAAGGATCCCGCGGCGAAAACCGATCAAAAAGGAGTCCATCCTTCTATTTCTACATCAAATCACAGATGTCTGATCAAAAAAACATGATTAGCATCAGCTCCAGAATTAGCTTCCTCTCTCTCACTTGGCAGGACAGCTCGCCCACTGTGACCCTCACATAAAGAAGCTGTTTGATCTTAATTGAAGGGCCTCTCTGATGTCGAGCCTTTCCTCTCCACCTCCTCTGCTCTACCTGACTTCCATCCTCATCTTTTAAAAAACGACCTGATGTTTATTACTGAAAATCCTCCGTGTCAGTCAGACTTTTTACATTAATTGTTCCTATAGTTAACAGTGAAAAGTAAGGTTGCCGTTTGATACTGCATCTTTTAAAAAAACAAAACAATCTCCAAACTGTGGATTATCGACAGTACATTACAGACGACAGAAGCTTTAAAACCTAAAGATCGTCAGTCATATTATTAACCAAAAGCAGGCATGAGCAGATGACAGAGAGCACAAATATATCTTCAACATTTTGATATATCAGCAGAAGTGACTCTGATGCTGCATGCTTCTTGCTGTAGGTCAGGCTTACTTTTTGGGTGACACAAAATAGCTGAAATCTAAATTGTAAATCTGAATCAGAAGGTTGAACACGGCTCATAAGGTGGTCTGTCACGTTGGTCGGAGCATCCTGTCTGTGCTGGAGGAGACACAGATGGGCTCTTCTGCCTCGTGATGTTTAATATTCAAACTGCCTGCCCCTCATGATGCCGAGCTCTGAGTTTGAGTTCTGTGTTAAGCAAGGAGTTAAGGTAGAGATTTGGTTTCATTAAAAGCCACTCCATGATGTACATCACACGGTATATTGGATATTTGTACAAAAACAAACATTTGACAAAGCCTTTGGTAATCAGACTAGGGAGGGATGTGTGCGTTTAGTCGACTAAACCTGTTAAATATCATCACCCTCGCTAGTCGGCCCCTTAATAACTTGATGGTTAAATTAATTATCAATATTTCTTCATGTT